GAGAAACGTTACAATACATATGAGATACTGTGCGAAGGATCACTCAGAACCTCTTTCTCAACAATCACAGACAATTCGCGCTCCCTCAATTCGAGATTTTTCTATACAAGCAAACAAACAAAAATAATCACAACACTAACAAATCACACAACCTCTCTCGAACCTTGCACAACCAAAATGACGTTATAAGAGTAGAATGGGACTCCGCCCACAACCAAAATACAAAAACTCAACTACAACTAGAGATGAGCAATTGAAAGATATTTCTTCACTTCATGGACCAGCGCATAATCAGAGCTGATTGGAACTGAGAGAAGAGAATCCAAATAAGGTTTTGAAATTTTTATTCGTCGAGGGTTATGGCCTCGCTTAACATGTTTCTCATAACAGCACTGACTCATTTACACACACACGTGATATCATTTCCCCATTGAGCGCATAATGTGAAGCCCCGAAGAATTGAACAATTAACCTCACTAAGAGTATTGTAGCATTCTAAACGAGAATCAGACATAAGCATGCAAAATAATAGCACAGGTTACCATCCAAAACTCTTGTCATACTGTGAGCTGTAGTGCAGCAGAATTCAGAAAAGATGCCTTATATAAGCGTCATAACTTTCTTGAAAATGGTCGAAATTCTTCAACTTTTTGGTGAAACAGGAGATGCGTATGAGCCGGCAGTGCAGACCAATAAACTGTCGACGAAAATAAGAAGAGACTCACATTTACAAACAATCGATTGAGTGCCATAACTCCTACAAATAGCGTCAAACACGGAAAATCATCCTTCTCATCAATTTGAAAAACAAATTTAAGACAAATATTTAATGAATTGTTCAATTGAAAGAGAATAAGATATATATAAACACATGATGTATAAGCAAGAAGAGTTTCGAGTAAGTTTTCCTGTGAACAGAAACCTTATAGAGATTATAAACAATGAAAAGAAAGATAAACTATTTTTTTGATCTACCTGCGTAAAGAAAACCGAAAAATTTGGGCCGAACCGGGATTTGAACCCGGGACCTCTCGCACCCAAAGCGAGAATCATACCCCTAGACCATTCGGCCACATTCAATGTGGATTCCGATTTTCTAGATCAATCGCAGATTTTCTAGACCCTGTATGGATTCAAGACGAATAAACAGAACATTTTTCTCTTCAACGATTCTCCGAAGATGCTGTTCATCTTTGCAGAAGCAACAAATCTTTGCGTTTTCGATATAAAAACTAATAGCCTTTAGATAAAATTCGAAGAAGCAGGACAAACAAGAAGTTCAAACCTACCATCCCCTCAGTGCTTAAGGGGTCTAGCTGACTCACTAAGTGTTGAACTGTCTGTCGGTAAGACTGTGAAGAATTGTTCTTTTCGTGTGTATATGTTGTATGTTGTAGAAGTAACTAATACATGAATGGTGACAAATAAATTTTTATAAATATTGAGGTAGTATCGAACAATACAACTCCGTGCGGAAGTTATGAGTTTAAAATGAAACAAAAAAAGATCTCTTCAGAAAGCTTAATAAAACGTATTAAAATCGACCAATCGAATTATAACTTCTTATGAGAATGGCTTGAGCGCTTCAAGCTGGTAAACTTAAGAGCTAGTTTATACAATGAAACCGAACACGTTTGAGGCTTAAACGAAAAAAAAACGCTTAATGGAATAAAAAAGTAAAGGGAAGTAAAAGTAAATTTCACCAGGTTCCAAAACACGGATTGAAATGTAACTGGTAAAGTAAAAAACCGGATAAAAGAATTGCAAGACCCAGAAATCTTTAAAGATAGAGTAGGACTTCTGAGAACAGCTGAGGTAGATTATGTGAGGTGTTGCTTATTCTTGTACGACGCAAGGAAAATTAAACCAGAAAAAAAATCTGAATGTCTTCAAGACATCAGGAAACATGCGAATCGGCTAATAGACTTAAGAACAGTGAGGTAGGTGTGCGGAGGTACGTTAGCAAAGGTGGAAAATGTATAAAGGGATTTATATTTCACACGAATAATGGAAATATAAAGCCAACTTCAAACACATGTGAGGTCCCGCATTCTGAATGAGATAAAACGAATTTAATAAGGGTGCGATTACTTGAAATAAAACATCTGGAAGAAAACAATTACATATTAAAAGATAATTACAAATAAAAACGGGATCTTTCTAGCAGGTGCTATGAAAACGAGTTCCGGCTGAGCCGGCAGCTCAAGTAACAAACCGGTACTGAACATGACACTAGATAAACTTTCAACATAAAAACAAAACGATCTTGAGGTAGCTTATCAAAGGCAGATGAAACCATAAGAGATTTTATGAGGTAGGCCAGTGATCATGTCAGGTGGAGGTAGATTAAGAGTAACGAAAAAATGAAAGCAGTAGTACAGGACCAGGAATTTAATGAGTAAAAATGACTTCGAAAGATGAACGGCAGGAGAAAGGACAAAACATACTAACTACATTAATGATCATTATTCAACTTTGAAAATTTCTCGAGGGAGTGCTTCAGTTTCCGAAGAATCAACAGTGCCCAAAAAGAGCATACCAGCATTATGACTGATATCCTTCAACATGGCAAGAGCGGATGGAAGCTGAGTGAACAGCTTATGAGCATCTTCACCATATAAGGATTCTAGATATCTGAAATGGTGTTTGCATGAGCAACTCAGACTCAACATGTGATAATTACCGTTTTAAAACTTTGCAGTAATGCTCATGGAACATATTGATATGATTCTTATCCCGTTCATCCGTAATGCAATCACGAGGAGAGAACATAACAATCAGCATAATTAAGGCGATGGCTAGGTCATTAGTTCGAATATCGTCATGGAAAAATTGGAAAAACCTGCAAAGCTTACAGTATTCAACGAAGACGAACTTGAAACTCACTCGTAAACGCGATTCTTCTGTTCGCCATGGCTATCTTTAAGCTGATCAAACATGTCGAATGGTACTTCTCCTTTAACAGTTGGAGAACGCCAAACACCTTTTGATCCATCAAATCTAGTCAATCCGCGAATGGTTAGCATTTCTACCATGGCAGCTGGAAGATGTGAAGATTAGTGGGTGGATAGAGAAACAAACAAACCTTTAAGAAGAGCAAACTTTCCATCCTGAGATAAGTCGTTGAAAGCGGGAAGTCGCTTTGCCATTTTCACTAAACGCCTCATAGCCACGTCCATGATGTTCATGATATCTGCTGGAGTTTTGTTCTTTTTCAAGAAAGATTCTCGTTGACGTCCTTGCTCCATTGGATCGTTCATGCCTTTGAAAGCTTCTGCGACCATATCTAGATCCCGAAGTTCCATAGCATTAAGCTGGAAGTTCATTCTAGGATCAGAAGGACCGTAAGAAGCAACATTCTGTAAAGATAGCGATGACTGCGGAAAGAGAGATAGATATGTTACCTCAGAGAGACCTCTGCTACATTGATTCTGCATCACCTGGGGACTATCGATCTTGAGAGCATCCTGCAAGAATAGCAGTACAGTATTTGGTATGAACAAGGAGGAGAGGAGTAAAAATAAGGCTAGAGGAATAAATCATGCAACTATAGTATGATCGAGAACTCGCTCTTAAGTATTGCCCTCGCTTTTTGTTAATATGGAATGACATACAAGTAGTTAGTTTCGAAACAACTCTACGCTCGTGCTCGACTTTCACAAACCTCAATTGTTTTATCGAAGTAAACTTTCATATGAGCAACCTTGTCGTTTGAAAAGTCGGTTCCAAAGACACCAGAGGCTGTATGATCAGAGCTTGGTACGGCAGCAGTTGAATTTCCAATTTCAATATAAGTTGGCAATCCTAAAACATAAGTATCAGTATGGAACTGCTGTAGGAACATACCTCCGATACCAGGGCGTGGAGTTGGTTGCATCATAGTAGGACTGCTTACTTGCATGCCTTGAATAGGACTACAGAATGGACGAGCTTGTGGGCTTCCCAGGTTAGGTGAATACGAAGGTCTGAAACTATAGAGAAATTGGATGAGTCAAGGAGTGTCAAGCTGAAATACCTCTTATTGGGAGGTTCCTCCACTGGCTTGCTACCCGCTAATTGAACCAAATTTTGATAATCATCAATTGACAAAATGACTTTGCCAGATTGAGCATCAACAGCTACAGGCGAAGGAGTACTTGGATTAGGGCGAACAATCGAACTACGTATTCGTTGTTGCATCATCATATTAGGATCATACTGAAACTAAACAATCAATGAAAACGTAGCGAACGAAAGCAATGTGCAAGGTAAAACTAAAGCGAACTACTAAGTTGCTTTTGTGTCAAGATAGCAACTAAGAAAGCTATTAATGACTACGCAAAGCTGAGACTATTATATGTATATAAGCCACAAGCCATAAATGCTTTACTCACGGCATCAGGGCTTCTTTGCCCTCCTAAAATTCCGACAGAACGAGACGGCGGCGAATCGGATGCCGTCGAGCCTGATGGGCTCATCAGTGGATACTAAAGAAATGAGGTGAAATAGAAACCTAGATTAATCAAAAAGCTATCCAAAATGATGATTTCCTAATCAGAGTGATTTCAATTCAAAGTCAAAAAAATTTTGAAAAAAAAAGAAAAAATCCAAAAAAAAAAATTCGAATTGCTTACATTGTTTAATGAAGTAATTCGACCTTGATTAAATAATTTTTGGATATGGTCTTTGGTTGATTGGAAATCTGATTGATTAATAATAAAGTTATTTTCTACATCATTGTTATACTGAAAACAAGTGAGGGCTAATCAAAAAGTTACAAAATTACTAACCGTTGCACCAGGAGGACTAACTAAAGGAGCTCCCACCGATCGACCGTTCATTGGTACGAGCTGGAAGAGATGGAATCAAAAAACCATTTGATAAATTGACAACAAAAAAATCTTTCAAACATTCACACTCGCATTCTAACTTAATAGAGAAAGCAATAGGAGTGATGAGGGAGGGGGCACCAAACGAAGCAGAGCTAAGGTCTGTCCCAACCAGTTCCTTAGCGTTAACCTCTTAAATCTGAGACAACAAGAGCGATAAACAACTTTTCCAACGTTATCGCTAGTTTGTACAGCAACCAGAGTGCAAAATACAAAAAAAGCAATGAAAAAGATCTATGAAACGGTCATAGACTCTAGTTGTGATCAGACTTGTCTGAGGTTGATCATCGCAGATCAAAGCTTCTCACCTGTTGATCCAAGCTGTTATTCAATGATGGGGAATTGAAATTTTGTTTTACTTCATCGTTTGGTGATTGTGGTTGAGATTGAGGTTGGTCGGGCTCCTGAAATGAGTCCGACGTTGGTTGGCTGGTTGACGAGATGTTCGATGAGTATAAGGACGGGTTAGAGAAGATAGGAGATAATGAACAACAAAACTGCTTTCTCACATTCTGTTTTACATATTTTCAGAGTTGGAGATGCAAGTAGATAGACATGCATCGTAGATATCCAAGAACCAAAAAGAAGAAAAACAAAACGGTACCTGTTGTTTGATCTTCTGTTGATTAGCCAGATTATTAAGTCGAGAATTTTTTCTTCGTCTCAACTGCTCATCATTCAAGATCCATTCTTTCTTCATGCCGACCTGAATAATAAATTATTTTGCTTCTATTCATGTTTATCTAATTACCGCGAAGCATTTTCGTAAACGGCATTTTTGGCAAAAACGACGACTAACTGCGTTGATTTCACAGTCTTCTGAGTATGGGCATTTGAACTCCTGAAACGACTAGAATGAATTAGAGTGGTCTTCTAATGTACGTGCAACATGTATCCTAACTCATCTCTCTTACACATGATCATCTGTAACTATACTACGATAGGTTACATATGATAAGATCATCTGTCCTTTCTTTCAAAAAAGCAAACGATCATATTTCAAACTACAAACTGGACAAAACTATACCAACTACAGAAAGATCACTTATCCAAGTTGATCTCCACTTATCGACAATTAAGTTCTAGAAAATCGATCATGCCTCTCTCTCTCTATCTCTCATCTAACACGATCATCCTATAGAAAACATAGTTTGAACTGACCTTAGGACGTAAAGCGTTCCTTCGGAAAAAGGCTTTACAGGATTCGCAGGTTATAACATTGAAATTGTAGCCCGTCGCATGATCGCCACATACTCGACAAGTTTTCTGTCGACGTCGAGAATCCTAAAAGACCATAAACGATTAGTGAAAAACTTATATAAATAGAACTTACATCATTAGCATTTGGATCAATGGATGATGTTTCAGGAGAACTACAATTCTGAGCTACGCCCTCTTCAATTTTAGTAATTTGATTCGGATTATAGCCTATAAATAAACAATTTTAAATATCATACTTAGAAGCAGAAATGTGGATGGGAGGGAGGAGGATTGAGGATGGGGTATTCTCAATGTTAGGAAATCATATTGATTTTCAATTTCTAATAGTCTCTTAGAGACCTATGATTTGATGAAGGTGTGCAGGTCATCTAGTTGCAGAAAAGGTCATTTCAAGTTTATTATGAAAGTTAAACTTGAAGAAATAAAAATAAAAAAAGAAAGCGAAAGTACTTACCGTTCATAAGTTGACCACTGAGAGACGGCGGGGAGTGGATAACAGGGTCATCCGGTGTGCTCATCTGCGGCTGAAATTAAAAAATTGTAAATTGTAGTTTAATTGGTAGCGGTAAAGCATAACGTTTCCGTATCTTTTTTTTATATTATATCTTGTTTTGTATCCAACCTTTGTGTAGTACTCACTCTCCTTCGTCCAAATAAAATCATTTTGTGATAATTGGGAAACCATACTATCTTTACAGGCGCGATTTGGAAATAGCGTATCGCTAATTCGAATAGAGCACCCTATCTCTATATATATGCATATGTAATAAACATATTAACTCAATTAGCCATTTGAAGTAGAAAGATGGAGCTTTCAATAACAACAGGTGATGATCAAGAAAGAGAAATAGAGAGAGAGGAGAAAGAGATGGAAAGAGAGAAAAGGTAAAAGTGAATGAAATGTTACAAAAATGAGAGTTTTTTTTTCTCCAATCATTCTTAAACAAACAATCAAGTGCATACATATTTTGATATTTTTCATGATTGAGTTAGGAATAGGGAGAGGAAGAGGAAGAGAGAGAGAGGAGAGGAGAGAGAAGAGTAGAGGAAGATGAGTTCAAAATTCTTGATAGAAAGAGAACTCTATAAACTCTGCCAATTAGGAATGTTTCCAAACTCGAAAAAGGAAAGTCGTTTTTGATGTGAGGCAAGACGGGCATGGCAGAGCAGAAACAGAGCATGAGATAAACAGTATTGATAGACATAGCAAAAATTGGAGAAGATGGAAAGAATATGGAGCGGAACATAAAGAAGCAGTGACAAGGTAAAGAGCTAGAAAATAGAAAAAGAAGACTGTGCGTATTCGAGAGAACCAGACAGCCAGATGAAAGTAATCGGAATGTTTACCACTTCGGAGTTTCTACTATTTTTGTCTTACACTCTCGTTCTCTACATTTTGTGTTCAATTTTCATTTTTTTTCCATCTAAGCTCATGTATATTGCTTTATGAGACCGTACCCAAACTGATGTCGCGAAGAAGACCATCCGAAGATTAACATGTTAGGCAGTCATTGAATCATCCGTTTAAAAAGTTAAAACGATAATAAATAATGGCTGATTACAGAAAACCGGGGGGAAGCTGAACATTGTTTGATAGTAATGAGGAGAAACGAAACTAAGAGGCAATAAGAGAAAGAAAGAGAGAGAGAGAGAGAGAGAGTAAAGAAAGAGGGAGAATATGAGGGGGGAAAAAAGAAAAAAAAGAGGGTCAGATGATAGCTACGCCACACACAGGCAAAACGAAAAGGAAAAACAACTTTTATTCAACACAGAAAAAGGGAAAGCAGGCTGTCTGCCAAAATAACTGGAGGGTTAGAGAAAACAAGAGTGAAGAGATAATGCTAAATGCTTGTGTTTCGCGAGATATATTGTGAGGAGGAGAGAAAGTTAGAAGCTTCATAATACTCGAAACTTTTCGATTTTTTTCTTTTTTTTTTTAAATTTTTTTTTTTGATTGTCCGACACACCACCCAAGTCATACATACGAGACTTTCAAGTTTAGATTTAATGAATATAAAACTCTCTTAATGTGATAGGCCCAGCAAAATTGACAAACCGATTGATGAGATCGTGCATCGATGGGTTGTGATTGGCAGACTGAGACACAATCAGTCGGATTGTATGTCTGATTCCACGTATACTGCGTGCTCCACAACATGCCCGGGGGCGATTGAAGAAACAAATCGAAGGGGGGGACGTCTTACAGCACAAGCAAACGTCTGCTTCAGGAGACGAGAAAATACGCTAAGATACGTATAATTCTGATTCTTTACTTTGTTGAAGTAAGACAATATCAGATAAATTGAAGAATACGAAAATTAGAAAAGTACATCACAAACACGATAGAAAGAAAAGCCAGAAATGAGTAGTAAAGCAACAATATTGGCGTGGAGAGATGACGACTATCTGAAACCCACTAAGGAACATCAGAAAGGATATGCTGAAGATCAGAAAAGGAGGAGCGGAGCTGCAGACGTCGATGACAAAAAAAAACGTTGTGATCGCAACAAAAAGCAAAAAGAAAGACGAAAAAAAGAACAGAAAAGCGAACGAGAGGCGAGGGAGAACGTCCCAAAACCAAGCCGTCGACCACGAAAACAACAACAACACTGCTAGATAGAGGGTTCAGAGAGCAGAATTTCGGTGTTCTAAATTTTTTGTTCGGTCTCCTCCCTTTTTTTTTTTCTTATTTTTTTTCATCTCTCCACCCAGACAACATGAAAGTTTCGTGTCTGTTCGTCTATTTGATGTGCCTGGAGCCACAACAAGCTCGCAGAACAGAGTTGTTCTTCATAGTCTTTCTACTTATCTTTGCTCTTCTGACGTCTTCGCTGACAACACTGTCTACAGCCGTCTCTTATTTTCATTTTTCTCTCTCTCATAATTCATTGTATCTCTCCATTTTATCTGTTCTATTTTTTACTATGTTTTTCTTTTTTTTTACTCTCACATGCTATTTGCTTGTGTGTCAGTTTTTTTATTCCTCTCCTCTTTCTACATTGCAACCTATGCATGTAGATACACACACAACTGGAAAGAGAGTCACAAAAAAAGGAGGAAGAAACAGTAGAAGGCATAGAGAGAGAAAAAGATGAAGGGGAAAGCAGAGAGAGAGAGAGAGTGAAAGACAAAAGAAGCGGACCCACATGTTTCACCAAAAACAGAATTGCTATTCGACTAGCCTGTTTTTTCCTATTGTCACGATTACCACCATCTATTGCTAATGGTGATTACTCCACAGCTCATCCCACCAAATTAAGAATTCTAATCAAGAGCATTCCCCTCAAGATTACAAGATATTGAGACAGCCGTATATGGAGCAAGATGAGAATGAAAGAGGGAAGATGAGGTGAATAGGGGGTAGGAAGAAGCTAAGCCATTCAACAGTTGGAATACTTTTCAAGTTACAGCCCTTCAGATGTAATTGAAAAGGTGCAGGAAATAGAGATAAGCAAACATTCGGAAGGTGGAAAACGGAATTGAATTGTTGTCTTCGCATGTGGATACAAAAAAAAATGAAATTTAGATGAAATGCCAAGAATGGGTAGTAGTAGTAGCAGCAGCAGCAGTAGCAGCAGCAAGAAGGAAAAAAAAGGAAAAGAAAAGAAAAAGTTTCTCAATCAAAAATACAAAAATTAGATTAAAATGGCAGCAGCTGAATACAGTAAGTTTTCTCCAGCTGATGATATTTCATGAGAATTCTCTCACAATCAGACGTATGTTTATGATTGTGAGCTTTTTGTCTATCAAATTATCCCCCAAAAAAGGGAATGGTAAAGAGATAGAGAGAGATTGAGAGAGAGGGTAAGAGAGAGAGAGAGAGAGAGAGATATAGAAATATCAGATGGATATATCATATACGGTTATCATATTAAGCTTGAATTGAAATAAAAAAAAAAAAGATTAGGGAGACAGTCTTACCTTCCCATAAAACTTGTTTAGCATACTCCAATTGAGATAGTTTTGTGTTGAAATCAGATTATTAATATCCACCATATTACGCAAAACAAATTGATGTGTGTAGCCAGACAGATAAAAGACGATGTAGATAATGAGTGAGTGAGTGTAAGTTCAGTTTTTGTTTTTTTTTTTTGTTCAAATTCAAAGATATTTCTTCGTTTGTTTCGTCTTTCCTTATTTGGCTTTTGAACAAAGAAGAAATTACGTCTGATACTTATACACACACTAACGATTGCCCCAAAGCAGTTACGGGCTCAGATCATTTGACGCACCTTCAAGTAAGAACAGACTAAGATAATAGAAACAACAAAGACAAGATATAATCGCGAACAACCATTATGTAAAAAACAAAAAAACATTTTTAAGTAGGAGAAATGAAATAAAAAGAATTAATTAGTCAAATAAGCTGTAAATAGGGAGATAAAGAGCTATCACAAAGATTATTATGAAATATGGGCAGATGAACGGTGAAGAAAAAAACAGACGAGAGAGAGAGATAGTGAGAAGAGAGAGGAGGGGAGAGATGAAGAGAGAGCAACATGTTCAAGAGAAAGAGGCAATCAGTATAGAAGAGAATAAGAGAGGAATAAAACAGAAAGAGGAACGGATCGGCAATAAGAGGGGGCGAGATAGATAGAACGAATTTGAGTGATTAGGATGGAACGAAAAATAAAGTTCGAAGGACATCATAGACTGTTAGTTGGAAACTGCTAACGAATGATTATGCCTTCGATAGCGCACTTCAGTTTTTAACGACAACAGAAGTTGACGAACGAACGGTTCATTAGGATTCTGTTGTGAGTTGTCCATGTGTGTGTGTGTGTGTGTCATTTGCGTGCAAGTTTAACGTAAGAAGTGAAGACTTTTTAAAAATGCTTCTCAAGTACGTATAACTTCATTTGCATAAGGATTGAGAGAAGACGAACAATGGAGAGTTTTGATCATCAGAAGACAATTAGAAACAATAAAGAAAAATATGTTTTGAAGGAAAAAAAAGAGAGAGAGAGAGAGAATAGAAGATAAACAAAGAGCTTTGAAATACTGAATAGATCAAAAAATAGTCTAATAAGCTATTAACAGCTGATCACAAAAAATATATAATTAATTGCATAAATTCGGTAGATGTTCATAAATCGATGTTAAATGGAAATACAGCTTTTGCTTTGCTTTTTTTCCTTTTCTTTCGTCTTCATCTTCATCTCATAGCCTACCCTACTCCACCCACCCCTCTCTCTTGTCCGGATACAAGCATGGAGAATGATTCAAGCAATGCTGCTGACAGAAGTTGGAAGTTAGAAATGTTCCCGAAAAGCAACTATACTAAAACAGCTCTCGTCTGCTTCATCACTTTTGTTTTATTATAATAAATGGCGATGAAAACAAAAAAAAAGAAGTGACAGAGGGGTAGGGGGGGGAAGGCTGGAAGAAAAGAAAGAAAGAAAGAAATTTGTATAAAAAATACAAAATGTTTCAATATCAAAGCAAGTTGTGTGTTGATGATGATCATCATCATGTACAACATATTGTTTCTCTTCTCATTCAGATACACACTTCAAGGCTTCAA